CATTTTGCTTTCTGTCCCACTCTAACCCTGCTTGTGCTTCAGACACTATCCTGCGGAGCGGCAATGTCGGTTATTTATATGACACAAGTACCGGAGAGGACGCAGGTTCACGGTTAATAGCAACAGAAAGGCGTGAAGTGATGTATGGTGATGGCCAATTAGATTGGCTGAAGGTGGATTTATGGCCGAGCCAGCTTTTTGTCTTTCTTTCTCTCTCTCTCTCTTTCTCTCTCACACACACACGTCCTTTACTGTTGACCCTGGTATTAAGCTGAAAGGCCAACGTGTACTTTGTGCTTTAACCCTTAATATCAGCAGTTTATGCTAGTTTGAAGTCTTTCTCCCTCGACTGTTAGATTCTGCTGAAAGAGACATCGAGAATGCCAATATCACATTTGTTGTATAGATAATGAGATATAGAGTGATTCCAAAAAGATCCTTGAAATAATGTTATATTGTTTTACTTTTTTTTTTTTAAATTCAACCTTTAATTGGAATGTTAACTCCATTTGATTAAGATAACAGAAATGGTTCAACAGACATAGATTCACTTTTTTTTGTTTCAGAAATGTATTTTTCATGTCTGTGTGTATGTCTATGTTGTTTATAGTTTTATCTTCATCTGTATTAATCTAAGAGACAAACCATAGTTTTTTCTTCATTTTTTTGTGCAGAGTCTCTGCTTCAATAAGTATCTTAAAACATGCCATAAATCCACGTGCAGTGCACACTGTTAATTTCCTGCTCTCAATATTTATGAGCCGGATTACAGCATTACTGTAATAAACTTAGGTCAACGTTTCATATTCATTTACAAGCCTTGTGCCAAGTAAACATTTGTTGCTTCAATCTGTTAGCTTTTTAATATGTATAACAAAAAATTAAAAAACAACTTTTATACCAAACAACAAAAGTGAAAAATTATCTAAACAATATGTTGTTTTTTAGCTTTCGTTCTAACCAATGTATGTAAACTTATGTTGTGCAATTGAGAATGTTTGCCATTTCTTTAAACAATCTCATGACAAATTGGCATGCTAATCTCTGTTTTACAGTTAAAATATAAAATATACTCATAAAATATACTCCAAATACACAATAAAAAATGTTATGTTGCTCATTGTTTTACCATTCAAAGGAAGCATGAGGTGTTTGGAAGTGACTACTAACAAACTTCTGTTGGTTTTGCAAAACTTTACCCTAAGGATTTCTTTTCATGAAAATGAAATGAAATGCTTGAAATATCTTTCAAGCACATGATATTTTACACTAAAATTATGAATTTCTGTTCAATTTGTCAATAAAAGTCAGAAGTGTCAAAAGTATTAATGTTTATTTGTCAAGTAGAAGTATAAATACTACTGTTTTTAAACACTTTTGTAAAAAAAAAAAATACCTGTTTTAAAACTACTTACGTTATGATAGTAAAAGTAATGCATGAAAACATTTTAAGGACATATGCTTTACTGTACTACCCTAATAAAATAGAAATTTTCTACAATTCTGGATGATAATTTAATTTTCTTAGTTTTATAACTAATGGTAAAACTGTCAAATTTAACTTGAAAAAATATTTATTTTGTTTTGTAGCAAATAAGTTGGTGCAGCATCGAGTCCAACCACAAAGAAATACATTTTCTGGATGAAACATTATTTTGATGGCGTTTAATATTTCTTAAATACCAACAGGCTATCACTAAAATGAGCTTAACAGAACTAGCAATACTATTTTCATAATGTAAGGGGTAGATCTTTTTTTCTATGTAAGGAGTAGAAGTAAATAGTTGTCTAAATAATAACTCCAGTAAAGTAAAGATTGTCAAAATTTCTACTTAGATAAAGTAGCAAAGTATTTCTACTAGTGACAGCTGAATTAAATGTAATTTCTGCTTTATGAGGGACTGAGGGTCCAAAACCTGACCGAGGGAAAAAAGACATATCTGGAAAAACACTCCATAGAAAAATATATTGTTTATGATATCAAAAAAAAGTATCCATCATAAACTATTTATTGGTTTCTTTGTGTTAAGTAAGTGCAGCATTGATTAAAAAAAATAATAAATGACAAGCGGTTTTTGTTTTTCATGTGATAGTTGGAGAATCGCCCCTATGCAGTATGTCATTTTAGACATTTTAACAGGGAATAAGTATAAAGTTTTTTTTTTATTTGCTCCCAGCAAGGTTTGGATAACATTTTAATCATGTTTAAAAAGTATGTTATCTTTAATTTTTGTTGTTAACTTCTATTCTATAAATGCACAGGTCCTGTTAAAATGAGCAAATATCCTCATGACCAGATTTGTTGAAGGAAATAAACATTCTTTATGGTATCTGCATTTCAATATTTGTTCACCCTTTAATGGTTTAACACAGTCGGATCGGTTTGTAGCTGTAACATAAAATGTGATTTTTTTTTGTCTAAATTATTTGCTCAATTTTTTCTGTAGGCTACTATTGTATTTAAATATATACATCTTTTTTTTCCCCAATTTTGAGTCTCAATGACAGTTCTATCTAATTTATGCCATTGGGACGCGGAGTTGTATCACATCAGTCTGGGTTTCCAAGATAAAGTTATTAAAATTTGATGTCAGCTATGATATATGTATCCACTGAATGAAATTGCCACAATACACGGAGAACTGCCCTTTATATGCTGCTGCCCTGTCAGCACTCAGCTGTACATGGCTGGCAGCCAGCTAGAGACGGCCCCTTGTGCCTGAGGGCTTATCTTCTCTGGAACATTATTTATTCCATTGTAGTGTTGGCTTTATTAAATGCCTGCATTATTACCGGTGGACCGCAGACTGATTGCTGAGAGCAAGCAACTAGATAAGGGAAGAGAGGCAGAGTTAGCACAGAGCGTGTATGAAGGAAAGAGTGTGTGGGCGTTTGTTAAATAAAGTGAATGTCTGCGCATTGGATTGGGGTCGAGTTGCTCCAGAGAGCCACATTTATTAGTGGGAACCTACAGGAAATTACACTGGGATGTGTGTGTGTTAAGGTGACTACATGCATGCACTTGCATGATGCCTCATGTCTGTCTATGTGTCTCTCTGTTGGCCCCTCAGGGCCACTTAATTAACAGGCATGCTGCCCCAATTGAGGTCAAGGTCACGGCTGTTATTAGTGCCAGACAAGAGCATCGTTCTGTCTTCTGATGGGGGCAACAATCGAGTACAAATGCTACTATCTCTGTTAGATGCCCCTAGATGAGTGGTTTTCTCTGTATTTAACCCCTTACTGAGCATGTTGTCCCATATGCCAGCGTAATGCTTTTAAAACTTTGAATAGATGGGTTAGTGTAGTCCTATTGTTTGTCCACCAACAGGTCTTTAAAGGTGCTGGGCATTGTGGGGCGCAAGCTTTAGGGGTTTGCTGATGTCCTGCTTTAATATCAATTCAAAGTTTTATATTGACTATATATCAAATGTATCCTGCAAAACTTTCTTTTTTTTTTTTTGTAAAATTCTATTTCACTTTACTTCTTTGCCTTTGATCCACTCTGTATTATTTTCACAGATGTAGTTGTATATTTGATTCAAATATGACCTTTAGGAATTTGAGAGGAAATTATTTTTGTTTTTTTTTTATTCTCATTTTGAAGAAGAAATTATCATATTATTTTAAAAAAAAGTTTCTAGTACCTTTTTTTAGCCTCTTCAAAAAACAAATTTAGGGAGAAGTTTTTACCTGGTTAGCAACTCAGCAAAAAAAAAAAAAATATTACACTCCTTTTTTTGTTTGTTACTTTTTTTTATATTTTTTTTTTTTAGGTGTAAACATTTAACATGGCCAAAAAAAAAAAAAAAGAGATTAACATGTCCAAAGGGCACTCAAGTTGATATGGATTTAAGGAAACACATTAATTTCTGGACTTTTTCCTCTAGGATTTCTCCACAGAGAGCAACATTAAAGAGTCATTATGTAGGCATACTATATCTTTAAATCTCCTCTTTGTTTGACCTTTTACCTCTGTCAGTCGACTCATAGTATATAGTTTAATGAGCCGACTGACACCTCTGTCCTCAGAACAGATGGATCTTTAAGTTAGAATCCTATTTTCCTGAATTTACCAGAGCCAGAGCCTGTGCAGAACTGGTCCTGGCCCCTGTTATGGGCCCTGTACTCAATCATACACTGCAAAAAATGACCTACAAATATTGAGCAGCTAAGTTAGACAATTTGAAAATGGAATAAGATGATTTATGTTTGAAAATGAGAGAAAAACATTAATTTCAAGTGCAGAATATTTATCTTATTTTTAAGAGCAAAATACTAATTCCTTTAGCCAATCATCTCAACTACCTACAGAAATTAAGGGCAAATACACTTATTTTAAGATTTGTTCCATTTCTGTAGATCAGTTTTTGTAGCTAATTCTAAATAAATTTATTATGATGAAATGAAATGACAGGGGAGACCTAACAGATTTGTCTATTAGAGCAATTTTTTTATTCCGCTTTTACACTACACTTCAAATGTTATTTTGAAATTTCAGTAAGCTTTAAGCTTCAGTTGTTGGCCTATTACGATAGGATCACAGTTTTCATTCAATCAGTTTATTTCTATAGCTCAAATTCACAACACATTACACACTTTACAGTTCACCAGATCATCCAGTCAAATTGATTCAAAGTTGTCTATCTAAGGAAAACCAGTTGATTGCATGGACTCATTGATTGGAATGCAATCCCTCACACTAAGCAAGCTGGTAGGGACAGTGGAGAGGAAAAACTCCCTTTTAACAGGAAGAAACCCCCAGCAGAACCAGGGGCCATCTGTTAGATGTCTATCTTATATTAGTGATCTGCTCTTGCTCTGATTGTTTTTTTTTTTTTAGTTTAGTGCCTCCATGAAGAAAAAGAAAAAAAAAACACTGGTTGTTATTTCACCTAAAACCGCCACTTGGGCAAATATTTCTTGATGAAATGTCGCTACTTCAGCGCGCTAGCTCTGCGCGCGGCTGTAGACAGACCGTGCGCGCGCGCTCTCTCTCTCTTGCAGCTCTCTTTCTCTTGCAGCTCCAAACTCCAGCTGTTTCTTTACCTACTGGGAGTCGGAGCAATATTCCCACCCCGAAAAAAAAAATACACAGGACGATAAACAGGGAGGGACGCTGAAGGACGAGGAGAGGAGAGGAGAGGAGAACCGCTGTCGCAGAGGAACAGGAGGAGAGAGGGAAACAGACGCATCTGCGGCTCGTTCAAAATTCTTAAGATGCCAGCATTTTCTCACCGACTAAGAGGAATAAATCCCGGGGCATCATGACGGATTGCGTCTTGTTCAATTCTTTGCACTTTGGTTGTTTTTTTGTAGACGCACATTTGGGGAAACGCTTAAAAAACTAATATTATTTTGCTTTAAAGAAATCCATCGGACAGTTTGCAGCACCTCTGGGAGCAAAGTGGATGCATTAAAGGAGGAAAGGAGCGCTGATCTCCTTCTCCATTATATAAATGTTTGCGTGCCATTAGTGCGCTTCTCTTTCACGCACACGCGGCCAGACGTGGACATTGATCTGTCACACATGTGGTCCTAATAACAAGGACGGGCCTCACCCCCCACCCCTTTCCCTCTCCCCCCAATCCTCACCCCACTGTCTGATGACTCCCCCTTGCACAGGTGGACGTGGAACGGAGCCGACTGTAGCATCATCTTCCTCAGCATCATCCTCCTCCTCAGCACCAGCATGTCCTCGTCGTCGCGCAAGATTTCCTCCGAGTCATTTAGCAGCTCGGTGGGCTCAGACTGTGGGCTGGAGAGCCCCGGAGGAGACGGAGGGGACGGCGCTTTGGAGCCGGCTGATGAGAGCCGGGGCTGCCCGTTCTCCTCCTTCCCTTCGGCCCACAGAGCGGTGCTGTGGAACGGCCGCAGCCCCGCTGAGAGGCCGGCGTGCCCGGCGAGAGAGGAGCAGCAGCAGGGACCCTGCGGGCCCCACAAGAGGGCCACCAGGCGGCGAAGGGTCAACCTGGACTCGTTGGGGGAAAGCCTGAAACGACTCACTTCACCCACGGTAATCTTACAGCTTAGATAAGATTATTTTGCTTCTGAATTACATTTTTAAGTTTCATTTTGCGTTTTTCTGAAGATACATTGGTCAAATATTAATCTCAGGTTATTTTTTAGATACATTTCACCAAGTAAAGGTGTTTTCTAAAGTGTAAGAAAATATCCTTTTGCAATATTCCAATTGTTTGAAAATAGATAATGGCAAAAGAAAGGAGCATGGAGAAACTTCATATAGTCCTTATCTAAAGCATCCATCCATCCATCCATCCATCCATCCAGTGTTTCCGAGTCCAGATAAACTGCAGACTTTTGACCCATCAAACACCCTCTTTTCATCAATGACATTATGTGTGCTGCGCTGTCTATGAAAAAGCAAACTCTTATTTTTTTTTTCCTTCTGCTCTGCTAGCCTGAATCATCTGGCTGATTATATAATAGTAGATTTGTTGTTGTGACGCAGAGTCAGAGATGCCCTGGCCTCTGTCTGTATATATTTAACTGTGCAGATTGTGACAGATAAACCTGTGTCTGTTGGTGCCTCTTCTATCCAGACCTCACTTGTATTATAGGCTGTAATGTAATTAAAGCTTCTCTTACCACTGAGTGCTATTGTGACAGATGATGTGTTATTAGGATGTTTACTTTTAGGTTATCCTTTGTGGATGTCCCAGAGGTGGGAAAATGCCATTTTCTTATCTTTTACTCGAACCCCATAATCTATTAATTATTATTGCTTTTTAAAATGATCCTTTCATAAAGAGGATTTTAAAACACCACTGTAGGCTTTTTTATACCTTTGGGCTGTATTCCAAAACGGGCTCATAGACAAAGGATCGCGTTACACTCCATAACTATTGTCACAATATGAGCATTACAGTGAAATCCTCTTATTAACCGTCTGTGAAGGTCACAGGGTGACTCCGAGGATGGGCAGGGATTTTTATGTACATTTGAAAAAAATAGTTATCACTGAGTATAACTATATATGTTGTTTTCAATGCATTTAAACATAACATGTTTAGTTTATAGTATCTAGGCGTTTTTAAATTAATCTTTTTACTGATGGAATTTCGTCTTAACTCACAATTCTGAAAGAATAATACAACCTTCTGCATCTACTTAAGCATACTTAGTTACTTTAACACAATTGTTTCATGTCCTACGCTGCTGACATGAAACAATTGTGTTAAAGTAACTAAATATGCTTACATAGTTGCAAAAAAGGATGCATTGCTTTTTCCAGTGTGAACAGGCATTTAGTAACAGCTCTGCTGCGACCTGGCAAGGTTTGTTTTTTGCATCCTCGACTGCTTAGCAAGCATGCATGCTTAGCAGCAAGTTGGTCTGGCTTAGAGTTTTTTCTTGTTTACATTGTCTTTCTGTCAGACTTTCATCTAACTTAATTTTTTTGCTAGCTGAATAACAACTATAAAAACAAACAAACAATAAAAAACTGAGAAATAGTTTGATTCATTAAAGGCAAAGAAAAAGATAGTAAACCAAAATCTGGTAGTCGACGGGATGGATAAGGCATGGTATCTAAGCTAAAGAAAAGTGTCGTTTGGATATTTTTGCTACCTCAGAAAACCTAAAAATATATTCAGATTGTGTTATATCTGCATTATCATTTATCCATTTATTAGACTTAGGGAGACTTAGAAAAACTTTATTGTCAGTTTGTACACACAGTGTATTCAAAATGAAATTTTGCTTTGTACAGCTCTCATGACATTTCAATTTCTTAAAGTGCTGCAGTGATGAAATGTAAACATTTTGGAAGAGTAAAACAGGGTGCAAAAAAAAAACGCATTGATATGGTCAGTTTGATGCACTGAGTCTGTGACATGATTTAGAGTTTTTTTCAACATTCAGCTGTCTAATGGCGGAGGGGAAGTAGATGTTGTGGAATCTGCTGGACCTGCATTGATGCTGCAAAGTTTCCTCCCAGAGGGCAGCAGGGAGAACAGTCCATGTTGGGGGTGTGAGGGGTCATTTATATATATTTATATACAGTCTCGAGACACGCAGCACTTGGATGAAATGTCGTTAATGGAGGGAAGAGGAGCCCCGATGATCCTCTCTGCAGTTCTCACTACTCTCCTCACCTTCTTCCAGTCTGAGGTGCTGCAGCCTCCATACCACACAGTCAGACAGCTGGTCAGAATGCTCTCTATGGTACTTCTGTAGATACTGGTGAGGATAGATAGGGGCAGGTTGGCTCTCTTTATCCTCCTCATGCACTTTTGTGCCCTTTTGACCAGAGAGGTGGTGTTTACAGTCCAGGTGAGGGTGTCTGTGATATGCACCCCCAGGAGTGTGGTGCTGCTGACCACCTCTACAGCTGAGTTGTTAATGAGCAGTGGAGCGTGGTTAGGCAGATTTTTCCTGAAGTCGACGATGATTCAGGATCAGGTTGTTGCACCAGTCCACCAGCTGCCCCACCTCCTCTCTGTAGTCCTGGTCGTTGTCGTCTCTGATGACGCCCACCACCACGGTGTCGTCTGCAAACTTCAGAATGTGTTTGGTGGTGTCAATCACCACCAATCACTTGCACACCTTTTTAACTAGCATCCTTTTTCAGCACTGGTCAGTGTCTGCTGTTTTATAAAAACATTTATCTTAGCTGCCTAGCATCTGTAATTGTTTTAAGCATGTTCCATTTTGAGACTAAAAAGAGCATTTTATAATAAATTTTTCCATTATATCAAAAGTGGTATCAAGTGTTGAATACTTTCCTTTGTATCGATAATGGAGTTTGAAATTTTGGTATGGTGACACCTCAGCCAAATGTGCAGTAATGTTCAAGGCCCTTACATGGGTAATGTTATTGCTGTTGCTGTTCAGGACCAAAATACAGATTAAAGCAGCATGGTAAATAGATGATAATTTAAATAAATTAATGAATGAATAAATAGCTCTGACTAGCATGGAGATGCGTAATACAACAGAGGATTCTGTGAAGACTAAAAATGACAAAACTCTGGCTCTGGAGGATGGCAGTAGCTGGACAACTGAGAACCGAGTACATAGAGCTGAGAAGAGGTTGTTACTGGTTTGCAATGCTCGTTATCTGGGTCTCTTGGGACAATTATAATAAATCCCACTGCTCTTCCACTGCCTACCACCATAATGTAATCAACTAGGTCGCAACTTCATTCTCAGAGCAGAGTACTGACTTTAGACACAAATTAAATGGAGAGCTAATTTCAGACTTGAGCTTGACTTAGTGTTGTTAATAGTGTCCATTTAATGTGAAGCTGTGTTTCTGTGGATTTTGAATCCTTCCCATGTGGATGTGCTAGTTTCCTCTTGCAGATAAAGGAAGAGGGCAGGATGCCACAGAGGAGTACTGTTTGCTCTTTATCAACAGGCATCTTCTTGTATGACTCTTGCTTAAGATAGGGGGACTTGGCAAAAAACTGCATGTACAGCATGCAAATTTGTGCATCAAAATATTTTTATATGAAATACACTCAGAAAAGTACTTAGTATTAGTCTACTCATACAGCACTTATGAGGACCTGAGGTCTGATTCAGGATTAAAACATCTTTTAGACACATCTTAAATCAGCTGTTGGGGTTTGGTGTGTTCAATCTGATAATTACAACGGCATTTTTGGCTCCAGAAGAGCATTTTACAAGCTGAAGGTTCTACATCTCTGCTTCCACTCTGTAAGAACAGGTTACACTAGAGCAGAGGTCACAGATTAGTGGACCAGTTACATTTATAAGTAACTGCATGTTGTCTGACGACAGTGTCTAAACGTCACCTGCGCCGCTTCTCCTGTTATTATGCTAAAGCCCTCCGGAGTGTCCGGCACCAGGCTGCACGTGATTCAAATTAGCCAATGAGCTGCTGTCAGTCTGGTTTGCTTTGAGCCACTTTTGGCCACAGCAGGCAAACCTGTGGCAAGCCGGGCGATGGGAAAGAAGGAGAAGACGAAAAGAAAAAGAAAGCAGAGAAAGTGTGGACTGCTGGAAGAAGTGTGGTGAACTGGTGAAAAAAAGTGAAATGGCATGCTCAAAGATGAATCTGCATATTTTGAGTATGTTTGGCTCAACCTATATAATCCAAAATAAATATCGATCCAGGCTCAAAATGAGCACCTTCATATGTGCTTCAGAATGGCTTTGTTGCCATTAAAACCCAGGTTTAAAGCTTTGCAGGGCAGCCTAAAGCCCACTTATCTTATTAAACCATTAAAAAAACATACAAAAAAAGGTCAGTTCAAGTGTTTTATAAAAACAGAGTGAGTCAGGAAATTGTCTATATACCAAACGGAAAGATTGTTGTACTCTACTTCAAAAACTATTTAGATTTTAAAATGGAAAAACTTTCTATTTTTTATATTTTGTATTTAAAAATTCAATGTATAACATGGATGCATAAACACCAGCATTTTATTGCAGTGTTAAATGCTGTTTAAAGTAACAGATCATTATTAAAAATGTCTCTGGACCACCAGTTGTTGATTTTCTTTATTCGGACCCCGCTGATTTTTAATTGGTTACCCTGGCACTAGAGACCAGACGTCCTAAAATTGTCAATTTATCACTTCTGCTGTCCCACACAACAAAGCAATGTCTCACATTTGACAAGGTAAAGAAAAGCAAATTAGAAAGTAAAAAAAAAGAAACATTCCCAGGTGCTTTTCCTAAATGCGATAAAAGCCGAGCTGCAGTCATTGTCACAGAGTTGTATCAGCGCTACACGTCATGACCAGGCTGAGGACGGTGTTCTGAAAAGAAAACACCAACTATGATAAAACTGGTTAAAAAAGAAAAACAGCCTCAACAAAAAGCTTACAACTGGGTGATGCAGTGAAATGTGATTCTCAGAGCTTTCTGGGAGGTTGTTTTTGAATTGAAATGTAGGGAGTGTGATGTAAAGCAACAATGTAAATGTAAGAGTCACAAAAGAAACACAAAGCTAAAAAAGCCACTTCCTTCATCGTCCCTCATAAGCATCCTAGTTGTTCCACATTTAGCTTTTTGAGATCTGGT